AAATAAATTATGTAATATGGTGAAAATGTTTAGCATACTATCAAAATGTCAGCTGAATCTGATATTGATTTGTATTTATTACATATCAGTATCATAACTATCCAAAACATAGAGTGCTTAAGATCACATTACTTTTTTCAAAGTTTCTGCATATTCTTCAAAATTCTCATCTACTACTGATTCACAAGGGATTCTAAGTTATTCCTAAAAGGACCTGTAAAAAGTAATATAAAACTTTGCCATTATAATGGCTAGAATTCTTCTCTATTTTATTTGGAGGATAAAAATAACAAAATATTAAAAAATACTTTTGAAATGTGCCAGTCCTCAAAACTTACAGACAACTAATTCACACTTTAAATCCTCCTGGAGTGTGTATGAGTATTTTAAGCTTCTGTTAAAAAACAAAACAAAACAAAAACAAAATAAAGCTGGTTACTATCTCCATGGCAACAAAGGCTAAGGTTGCTAACAGCATGGTTTTCTGCCTAAAGTAAGCTTTGAAACAGCAGAATTCTCACCTCTCCTAAGAATGTAATACTTGAGCCTATTTTTAAGAAATCATGTCACAAATGAATATCTCAAATGATTTATATGCATATCTACTGGCTACTAATAGCCAATATAGATCTCTTATCATAATCTCACCAATTAAAAAATAATGAAAATTTATTTATCCAATATTGTTTAGTACAAGATAAATTCTAATTTAATTCTGAAAGCTCTTAGGTCTGCAGAATTTTATTAATACATTGTCATGGCAACAAAATAACAATTTTACCTGCTGAGTTCTGACAAAGACAGCACTCGTCCTTGCTCAAGGGACTCTATATATCTAAAAATCTTAACAATTTTCATAATGAATTTGGGGCTAGTAGATAGAAATTAGCAACTCAGGGTAGATATGTAAGGAAGAAATTGATGGATGAAAGGAGAAATTGAGGGAGGTCTGAGTAGTGTACAAGAATTATGAGATGGATTCAAGGGGAAAAATCAGGATGATAAAGATCTGTGAACTCAGTGCCTTGCAGATGTCTCTATTTTTCCTTCTTAGAGAATTCCAACTGAGATATTTTTAGCTCATAGCAGACATTGAATTATTTTTTCCACTTTCATCTCTCCTTTATCCATTCAATGCTACACATGTCCAAGAATAAATTTGAATTACTTCATAAGGTAGCTAATAATGTTGCTCTGATCCCAGAAAACTAGTATCATCTGTAAGTCAATCAGACAAACAGTATAATCATAGCATGACAGACTGTCCAGGAGTCTTAACTACTGCTTGGTGGAGAACACAGAAGATCATCTTGCAAGATGACACAATATTTTGCTTGGAAGCCTAGAATTTTAATGTACTTCATTGTAAAAAAAACTGGTATATGAGATGATTCAGGTGGGTAAGAGAATTCTAGATCAAAACTGTTTACCAAATAAAACAAAGAAAAAAGAAAAGAAAAATGAAGTGGCTGAAATGAAATGGGAAGGAGGGCTCTACAATCAAACCAGGGATTTTACTGTGATGTAGGAGATAATAGGAAGGTACTGCTCTGAGAAGTACTCTGAACCTATATTGGGAACATGATTCTTATACTGTAAAAGACTTGAGTGTGGGAATGTGGCAGAGGTGGAAAGGAAAAATAAACATCAGTTCAGAGTACCAGCTTAGTTATGTCAAAGACTTAGGTCTTGGCTCTAGTACTTATTAGTAGTAAGAAAACAAGCTGTTAACTAAACCTCACTCAGCCTTAGTTTTCTCACGAAGTCAATGGATTTTTACCAGGCTTTGTAAGTAAGTCGAAGCACATAAATACTTAGCCCGATGCTTGGATATGGTGGTATAGCTCATCTATGAATTTATTAAGACATGGAGCAGGGTGGGCTATGTCTATTTAAAACAAAGTAAGCAACTGTTTTCAAGACATAGTATGGAGAGGCAGTAGAGAGGAAGTATAACATAGTGTAATAGTGAAGGGTTACTTAGCTTAGGAATTAAAAGGGTCTGGATTCTGAAACCATCTGAAACCAGCAAGCCTAACTTAGAGTCTCACCTCTTCTCCTTTTCCCCAGCTGTGAGAACCTTTCTGTGCCTAGGTTTTCTTATCAGTTATTTGAGGGTTAACAACAGTACTTACACCATGAAGGATGACAAGAACAATGGAATTACCAATTATTTAAAAAATTATTTAAAATTATTTGTATAAAAATAATAAAAATCTTTTTAAATTATTCATAACTTTCTATGAGGAACACATTAAACCCTATTTTGCAGAGGGGGAAATAGAATCACAAGATCCCATGCCCAAGATCACAGTATTTAGGTAGTAGACTATTACAGACTCATATCCAAGTCTTTTGATTTAGAGTATGATATATTGTTTCATTTCAATACAGTTCTTCAAGTACACACTCATTTTAGGAAGAGATGATTTTCAACAATCTATAAAAATGGCAGTAAGTAGCACTGAATTACATAGTATGGCAGAATTTACTAGTACCTATCAATATCCTGGCCTCCATTCCTTTCTAAGCAGAGGGGTGACTATAATTGCCCTGTGAGGTTTAGGAAGAACTATGTGACTAGTTTTGGCTTATGAAGTAAGAGAAGAGGGGACATAGCCCTTGCATGATTCTATAGTCTGTCTCTTTCTCTGGCACGAAAATCACAGAGGTCTCATGTTGAAGTGGTGGAGATACAAAATTGAAGCAATTGTATTGCTGTTATAAAGGACATAAAGTATAGCTGTATTGGAGAGTTGCGCAAATTTGCTGGGTAAACTAGAAATAGACCTTTGTTGTGTTAGGCCACTAAGATTTTTAAGGTTGTTTGTTATGATAGCATATACTATCCTCTTTTGCTTAATGAGATAGTTACAATGTTATTTCCTTTTCAGTCATCTTTCAATTCTTTGGAATACGTCAGAAGAAAATTTTAATGTGGTGCTAGTAGTTAATCCTTTTTCACAAAGAGAAAGAAGAGTTTAGCTTCACAGCCATTGGAGACAAAAGATTTAGCTAAAATTAACGTTCTACTTCATTTATACCATATGATGATGACTTTCAAGTTTGACAGATTTATACAGTGTATAAACTTTTAAAGTAAATTTATTAAAATAAAAACAAAATTTAAAGAAAATATTAGGTAAAAATATGGTTGTAAGAAAGTATGGCAAAAATCATTAAGATGCTATGCCAAAGAATGAAATTTAAGAAAGAGTGCTATGCACCAAGCTATATCTCACTAGGGTACCTTTTGATTTAATTCTCTATGTCCTGTCCATTCTATGTAGAGTTTTGAGCAAATTAGTTAGGCAACTGCATTTAAATTGGCATACAGTATTAGGAGATAGAGCTGATAAAATATTTTGAGATAATAAGAACAATCTATTAGAGTCATAATTGGGATATGGGCTAGGCATTTCAGAGAATTAAGAGATAGGTGAAGTGGAGAGTAGAAAATTAATTTAAAAAAGACATATAAACAGACATGGTTATTTGAACAGTCTAGTCTTTTGATTAGATAATCAGAATAGTCTCCTCTTAAATTTTTTGCCATCTTTTCAAGAGAGCCAATCCAGTTCTACATACTTATAATAGTCATGGACAGCACAGTGGAAGGTCAAAGAGGGGAAAGAGGAAGCACAGAGTGATTCAGTTGTACATGTAGTACACAATCTCTGAAGAACCTACATCCAGGGTTATACTGTGGCATCCTTAGACTAGTATGTGAATATAGAAAAGTTTTAGTTACTCTGTTAAACTGAGAGTAAATCATGAGGCCGTTCTTAGATACAAAGGGGAGATTAGTAGGTTCTAAAGCTCATAGCTTCTAAACTTGCGCTACCACCCCTCAAAATACCTGAAGGGTCTCATGAGGCTCACTCACCAAACTTGGCATACAAAGAAAACCTTTGGAAAATTTTGCCTCTGTATATGAAGAAAGAGAAAAGGAAAGATAAATAAGATGGAGAAGAAGATAAAGCATTTCATTTCAGGGAGATGGAAGAGAAGATGCAGGTTGAAAGGGAGACAGGGACAGAGAGTGGGGACACCTAGATTAAAGCAGCTGTTCTAACAGGTCAGGCAGAACAAGAGCTAGCACCAGAGCCAAAAGGAAGAGAGCAGCGTTTTCATCTGAATGAACTGATGTACATACAAACTTATTGAGAAAGACCGAAGTCTCTCAAGCTTACTTTAGACTTAAATATTTTTAAAAAGTATGCTCCTCTCCCATAAACACCACTACTGTTACAGTACAATCATGTTTCCTCCTTGTGTTAGGGTAAGCCAAGAGCGAAAACAAACAACCCTAAAATCTCAATGGCTTAATGTAAGAGAGTTCTCACTTAATATGACTGTTCAGTAGGAAGCTCCTTATCTTAGAGCTTCAGAGTTCTCTGGTGGTTTCTCTGAATCAAGCCAGAGGCTAGGGTGAAAAAGGAGGAATTGCATACAAGAAATTTTTATAGCCTAGCCTGGAACTGGGATACATTATTTTAACTCATATTATTCAAAATTCAGTAATACGACACACTTATCGGCAAGGAATACTGGGATATATAGTTTATCTGTATGCCCAGGAGGAAAGAAGAATAGGTTTTGGTGAATGCATAGTATTCTTTGCCATATTCCATAAAATATGTAGCTTGGAAATTCATTAAGAGTGAGATGCAGAACTAATGAACAAAGCAGCAAATTCTATATAAATTTAGCCTTCTTTCTTTTAAATGAACTGAAAATACACCATCAAAAATTAGGATCAGCTTAAATCTACTTTTTCATTCAAATATAATGATACCTTTTATTATGCTTTATAGATTATATCTGTAAACAAAAATAAATATAATGCTTTAGATTACAGTGCCTAGAATAATGTCTGGCATATGGTATCTGGTTAATAATTATTTGCTAAATGGACAGTATACAGTAGAAAAATTAAAGCAAAGACAGGCATTACAAATAGAGTTTTAATAAAACAAATGTTTTAAAAAGTACTCATGGTGCTTGTTTGGCAGCACACATACTAACATTGGAACAATACAGAGAAGATTAGCATGGCCCCTGCACAAGGATGACGTGCAAATTTGTAAAAAGCACTCATATATAATATAAATGTTAATCACACTATAAATACCCTCACTGATTTAGGCTTTCATAAAAGAAACATTATAAAAATCACCATTATTATATTCAGACTATAATCATTTAATTCCTAGCTTTAATGACTGGATTATTTTCCATAAAAATGTCCAAGAAAATATGCTAATAAGGACATAGTTCAGTTAAAAATGAAACACTAGAAAAGACACTTTAGTCGTGTCCAAGTACCTTCACATTCCGCAATATGTGAAGGATGCATTAACAAAAGATGTCAACATCCTTCTTATGATCGACCAGGAAGGCTAAGCAGCTGTTTTCTGATCCTCAAAGGCATTAAGTCACTAGAAGATCAGTCTGATCCTTTTGAGCCCTTTTAAAGCTTTGTTGAGGCAGGTGTGGAGCAACTTTTTACTCCTAGGCTAATTTAGCCCTGCTACCAAAGTGTGTCCTTTCTTGGATCTCTACTGAATGCTCTTAATGCTTCTAACAAGATCTCTACACTCTGATCACAATGAAAAACACCTCCAATTCCTATGAGAACTCTAGGAATTGTTCAGTTTAGAGCTCCCTGGTATTTATTTTTTCCTCTAGCCTCATGGAATCTCACCCCACCTATGTGCAACTCAGTATTAAGACTCAAAAGGACCCTTATGCAGAATTTTGTAGTTCTTTTCTGCTTAGCTCTCTATTCTTCAATAGTCTGTAAATTCCAGTTGCCTTGGTTTCCCCAATTTCTGATCTCTGTTTCCTCAGTTCAATAAGACTGTCATTCTCTGAGTTCCCAATCATCAGGAAAATACGTTTAGGCAAAAAGCCAGAGTTCACCTAGTTTCCTCCCCCATCCTTTCTCTAAGGCAGGGGTGTCAAACTCATTTTCACCGGGGGCCACATCAGCCTTGAGTTTGCCTTCAAAGGGCCAGATGTAATTCTAGGACTGTATAAATGTAACTACTCCTCAACAGTTAAGCGAAAGCTCAGCACTGCTGCCAGGTAGAAACAAGGTGCCGGGCAGGATAAAACAGGTGGAGGGCTGGATTCAGCCCTTGGGCCTTGTGTTTGCCACCTGTGCTCTAAAGGATCACATTACCATGCTGTAAATTGTCCTGTCTCTGAAAACAGTTGTTTCTAGTAAAAGGGCAAGTCCAGTACAGGTCACACCATCATAGTGGGAAGAACTTTCTCATGGTGTTTTGTTTTTGTTTTTTATCCTCACCTAAGGACACACTTAGAGAGGGAAAGAGAAGGAGAGACGGGGGGGGGGGGGACATCATTTGAGAAAGAAACATTGATGGATTTCCCTGACTAGGGACTAAACCCCCACACCCTAGGCACATGTCCTAACTGGGAACTGAACCTGCAACCTTTTGGTTTACAGGACGACACTCCAACCAACTTAGCCATACCAGCCAGGGCTCTCATGGTATTTTAATTGGTCTTTTCCAGATGTTTATTATTCAAATCATAGCTCACAAAAGGCAGAACCTTTGTCTCACATATTGGTATAGCCTTAGTGATGCTTATAATAGTGTGGGCCACAGAGAAAGTACTATTATTTGTTAAATGAATTAACTATTTGTTTATCTATATATTTTTGGAAGTATAAATAACCTGCTTATGTCTTCCACACATTTGGTGATTAAAGCCTAACAAAAAACTGATGATTCAAAGCCATATCCAAGGTAACTCTAGAATTAGTCTGTTCCTCCCATATAAATTTTATTTTTATGCAATTACGTTGTACTACATAAAAGGATATCATAGACACATTGATACAAAGATAGACCATATGAGCAATAAATATGGAGACCAGCATAGTGCTCCAAAAAGTTACTCCAAAAATGACTGCAATAACTTTTAAAACATTCCTACAAGACATTACTTTAGTATTTTGAATAAGTTAAAGACTTTCATTTCAAGAAAGAAAATTGAGATTTAAATCTTTGTTTACTTATACATGTTATAACAAAGAAAAAGACACATTATTGTAGCATATAACCCATTGTTATACAAATCATCTCTTTATAGCTGTGAATGGCAAAACTCAGGGTATATCAGATAAAATAAGGCAGTAGAGATTTCAATGACCTATTTTAATATCTTTTCAGATACAAATCAATAATCTGAGTTCAGAAAAACTTTTTAAATATGCTAACATTCAAATACCAATTAGTTTAATGGCATTAGGTTTCATTTCCATATATCTGAAGAAGTGCCAGGTTTTTGATAATATAAAAAGGAGTTTCAAATTTCAAAATTTTGGATATGTTGGCTTATGTGAGATTTTTGGTTTACTGATATAAGCAATTCTATATATTTGTCAGGCCAACATCTGAGTTTTAAAGTAGCTATATAATATATAACTACACTTAAATTTAAAATATTACATAAACATATTTCATCATAGAAATTGGAAAATACAAGAAGCAAATATAATGCAATTAAAAGTTATCAGAATCCTACCTCTGTTAAAGTTTCAGAGCATATAGCCTTTCCTATCATTTTATATAAAGCCTAATGCCAACAAAAGCAGCTAAAATGATTGATGACTTCTGTTTAATATATGACTTTTGAAAAGAACTTAAACCCCAAAAGTGGCAAGTGAATTTACTGAGCAACATTTTACATGAAGTGAACAGTATACCTGAGAAGAGTTGTGTCTCTAATATGAAACTGAAATTAGCCAGTCTTTTCCTTGTTAAATGAATGACTCTCACCTCCTCAAAATATAAAGTATCTAAAACAAATTTTATATGTGTAACTTATAAATAGGTAACATTTATACATGTAATTTTTACAATATGGAGCATACATATGTTATGACTATGGAATAAGGCTAGATGTACTTGTGAATGTTCTAAAAATTAGTTAAAATATCCCCATCTCTCTCAAATTAAAGAAAAAATATATTTCTCTAGCACCTTTAAACAGAAATAGTATATCTGTAATTCATATCTTCTCATCATATGCCTATGAGAAAGTAGAGGGAAAGAAATAGTAGGATAAAGAAATGAATATTTAGCATAATGCTCTCCAGTTCCATCCATGCTGTCACAAAGCATAGGACCTCCTTCTTTCTTTCTCCTGTGTAGTAACCCAGGCTGTGGGTACAATAAGCCAGGTGGTGAAAGACAAGTACCATATGATCTCACCTTTAAGTGGAACCTAATTAACAAAACAAACAAGCAAGCAAAATATAAGCAGAGACATTGAAATTAAGAACAAACTGACAGTAACCAGAGGGGAGGTGGACAGGGGGATAATGAGGGGGGAAGGGGGAAGTGTTTTCAGAAACGACTATAAAGGACACATGGACAAAACCAAAGGGGGGTGGGATCAGGGGAGGGAGGTGGGGATGGCTGGGGTGGGGGGACTGCTGGGGGGAAAATACAGACAACTGTACTTGAACAACAATAGGAAAAAAAAAGAAATAAACATTGTGATTAAAAGTAGGCTTTAAAGTGAGACTTGTGTTATATGCCCTATATGAGTTCAAAAATTTTTCCCAGCTTGGATTCCACCTCTTTAAAATGTGAGCCATATCTCCCTCTTAGAGTTGTTATGAGGATCAAATTTGAAGAGTATAGTATAGATAAGGCTAAAAAAGATATTTTTATTATGCTTTGGAAATAGGCAGCTGAAGCACAATGTGCTACTGAAGGCCACAGACAGCTCCCCTTGGGACACAAACTAAAATATGTATATTGGATTTATGGATCAACCATAATGCACACAGTATGATGCTCTATACATCTCTAAACTAAGTAGCCTGTGTATTCATAACAATACAATGCCACTTATCTCCTTAGGTTATTGTAATTATTGAAATGAACTCATCTTTGTAAAAGAATTAGTATACTGCCTTGCACATAAAATGTGCTCAATACTATATGTTGTTGTTATTAGTAGATAATGATGATGATGATGATGATATGATAAGTTAATGGAGGAACACTGACATGTACAAAGTACATTTTAAGATGTTAATCAAAATATTTGGTATGTACAGGGATGATTTATGACATTAAAGTGCAATAAGTAATCTACTCACACATCTTACCTCAGTTCTGTCTCCCTATCCCTTGAATCCAAAAGGATAGCTGTTATTTTATAGATGAAGTTATTTTCTTCAGTGAAATATATATTATAACAAGAGTAACTAGTACAGGTTCTCTTGTATGTATGATGGGGAAAGGTACAGTAAGTTGGAAAAGCGGTATCATATATAAGAAAGCTAATAGCTCATTTCTTTTTGAACATTTTACAAACTGTGATTAAAAAGTATCTTACGAGCCCTGGCTGGCGTAGCTCAGTGGATTGAGCACAGGATGCGAACCAAAGTGTGGCAGGTTCGATTCCCAGTCAGGGCACATGCCTGGGTTGCAGGCCACGGCCTGCACATTGATGTCTCTCTCTCTCTTTCTCCCTCCCTTCCCTCTCTAAAAATAAATAAATAAAATCTTTAAAAAAAAAGTATCTTACATTATATGATACTGGAATCAGGGTTTTGGTATTATAAATTTGAAATGTAAATTTTACCCCCCTCTATTATTGTGTCTAAATCATCAAACCCTACCAGATAATCTCTTTCAAGGTAGGGACTGTAGAATAATCATCTCAGAACAGTGTTTTGAGAATGATATATAATGCAATCATATTGCTGGTTTTCCATTTTGTATCAGCTATCAATAATGGCTGAAAATATGCTAAGTACAATAGCATAAAATTCCTTGGGAAAAAATAGTTTTACATGCAGTTAAGAACTAAGAAAGAGATAACTTTGGACACTAGCATGTAAATAATGGTCAGCCATCATTTACTGACAACTCTAAACTGACTTCTCCAAGGCAGACCCAAAGGTCTAGGGTTAACAAAGAAAGCAAAAAGTTAACAATTTGGGAAGAAAATTAAATTTTTTTTCTTTTTTAAAACTTCAGAAAAGTAAAATGAAGAAGATCCTGGGCAGTCAATGTGGGAGGCAGAAAACTGCTGCAATCTGCATAAACATAAACGCCGTGCCAGGCTGTAATGAAATCCTACAAGGGTAGATTAACAACAAGTAAGTCTTTGTCCCAGGGACAAAAATGACTATTGAGACATTTTCAAAGATTAACTGTGAAGGACCATTAACTTTCTGGCTTGTTTTTGGAATGTGCAGTTGCTACTAATCTTATAATAAGAAACTCACAGCAGAGAACACTTCACCACCACTAAACATGGGTAAAGAACCACAACATTCTCTAATCTTAGAATCTCTTGTAAGAAATTCCCAGTCTTTGTAACAGGACAAATTGCTTTTCGTATCTCTGAAACTCTGGAATTATCTGACTGGGAAGAAGATGAGAAGATGATTAAGTCCTCAGAAGAACACAATATGGGAAGATAGGCTGCCTACTCTGATGGAAAGTAAACCATGAAAAGAGAGGGTTAACTAGAGGAACAGAACTATTGTTCAACAAGGTAAGGATTTGATTTATATGTAAAAGCAGTAATTTTCCTTCTTACTTTCCTTAAATATACAGAGAAATGAAGTAATATTTGCTGTACTCTTCTTAGTTGTATGTTAGTAAGAGGGTGGTCTATAGATATGCAAAAAGTAAATTGATTTAGTTCAGAGGTCTTTACTTTCATAAGACTTCTCCCACTCGTGGTTTTTAAACTAATAAAACACATTGCTCTACTCGCCATATTATTTTCTTTAAATATAAAAAAAAATCTCAGTAGTAGTATAGAAGTAGAAGCAGTGCGCACAATACAGTCAAGAGGAATGGAACTAAAAAGTAAATCTCAAACTTAAAAGTTCATAAGTTTTTCTTATAATTTCCATCATTTTAAGAATGTACTTCACTGGATGAATGGTAAAGAGAAAACATGTAAGTATGGAACAATAAATGGTAAGGAAAACAACACTAAAATCAGAGTTTCCATAAAATTTAGCACTAAATCTAAATGTTGGTTTCCCAATACATAAATATTCCTATGGCTAGAAACAAATAACTTTTGAGAAAGTGTCAGTATTCATGAAAGACAAAATCTCAAAATCCTATTGGGGAGGTTCTGCTTCTGTGAAGCCAAGTAAGCTTCTCTGCCAGATGGACCCTCTCACAGATAACAACTATAAACTCTAAACAAAATATATCAGGTCTGTCCAGCCATCTCATATGAAAAATAGGGACATTTAATGAAGAAGATACAAGATACAAGAAAAATCATACTTAGGACAATGACACCTCAGTAACATTCAAAGTAGGCACCTTGGGACCTCACATAGTTCTCCCAATCACCATCGGCTGCCCTGTTGTATTTTCCTGAATTTCACTGATGGTCTGAAACCTCCTCCCTTTCATAGGTGATTTTAGTTTTGGGAAAAGCTGGAAGTCGTGGGGTGCCAAATATGTGCTGTAGGGGGTCTGAGTCACTGGCTGATGTGATATTCTGCGGAAAAACTACACAAGATGTAATGCATAAGTGGGCACATTCTCATGATGAAGCTGCCAATTACCAGTTGCCCACGGATACAGACTTCTGAAACATCCAAATAGTTTCCAAGGAGGAATGTTCAAGTTTAACACAAAATTTGATGCAGATTTGTTGTTCTACTTGCTCATTTTGAATGTGACGGCCACACTGTACACATGCTCACTCAAAGGCATCCACTGCCCCCACTGATTAGTACAGTGAAGTCATCACTGTTCTTGCATGTGCATTCCAGTCCACTCTCCTTGGCTGCCAGGTTACATCAATATCTCACAAACTGTTCTTGTTATATTAACAATGCTTGGACTTTTTCCAGATGGGCCTAGTGAAAAACTACCTCAAAGCCCTGGAGATAGAATACAAAAAACAGATTCTGGAGAAGAGCTGACACTTGCAAGAGAAAAGACCAAACTGGGATGAGTTTCCCATTTTTCTGGCTTTTGGCCTGTAAGCTGGCCACAGTCAGCACTGCATGGGTCATTAAAACTAAAAAACCTACAGTGTTTCTAGTCTTGTGGCAACAACAATCACTGGAAAGTAAAGGGAAGATTTCCAAAAAAGGAGAGAGAATTAATTACAGGAGGCAACCAGGTTCTGCATATAAACTCTGGTCAAACTTCTGGCTAATTCCTGAACCATGCATGCATGGGGCAGAACTGAACTGAAATGATGCCCAAGAGATACTTTTCTACTGAGTCAAATCAAGTTAAATGCCTGCTAAAAGAAAAATATTAACACTTTTTGAAGAAACAAGACAAAATCCAGAGTATCCTTTAAATAAAATGTCTAGGGTGCAATATAAAATTACTCAATACATGAAGAACCAGGAAAACATGACCTATTTTCAAGAGAAAAGATGAGGACCAACCCTGAGTCTCTCCAGGTATTGTAATTAGCAGATGAGTCATTTAAAAACAGTCATTATAACTATTTTCTGTGAAGTAAAGTGATATGTTCTCTTAATTAAAAAGGGGAGGAAATCTCAGCAGAGAAACAGAAACTATTAAAAAGGACCAAATAGAAATTCTACATCTGAAAAATGAAATAGCTGAAATAAAAAGTCACTGAAAGGGTTTAACAGCATATTCAAATGTTTAAACATGACAATTTAAATGACAGTATATAGTGTCTGTGTGTGTATATATATGTGTATATATACATACATACACACACACACACATATTATACAGTAAACTGAGAATAGTTTAAAATGACAGGAGTCAGTGACTTTGAAAACAGACAAATGAAAATTATCCAATCTGAAGACTACAGAGAACAAAGATTAAAAGAAAAAAAACCCTCAGGACCTGTGAGATGATATCCAAAGGTATAATATATATGTAATTGGAGTTTCAGAAGAAGAGAAAAATAGGGTGAAAAGATATTTGAAGAAATAATGGCTAATGTCTCAAGTCTGTAAAAGACAAATTTTCATAACAAGAAGCCAAGAAAACCTATGTAGGGATAAAGTAAACAGGACTACATTAGGCCTTTCATAATCAAACTGCTAAAAATCAAAGGAAAACAGAACATCTTGAAAGCAGCCAGAGAAAAACAATATATTACATATAAAGGTTAACAATTTGATGTCTAACTTCTTATCAGAAACATGTAGGACAGCAGTACTAACATCTTACAAAGTAGAAACAAAAAATACTGTCTTATATCTGATATAATGAGAAATACAGAAATTAGGAAATAAAGTATTTATAGCTATAAGCAATAAAACAGAAATCAGTGACATAGCTATGTCAGGAAGAAAGGTGAGAGTAATGCACATAAGCTTTCATTACATAATGTTTCATTAAATATCTTTAAATCAAGAAATTTTTGCCCACACAAAGGGCACACCTCAAGTACCCAACTTGGGTGATAGGGAAGGCTGTTCCACTGGACCCTACAGGATACCTACTACATTAGACTACACTACCAAGACGAGAATCACAGCAGCTCTACCTAATACATAGAAACAAACTCAGGGATGCTGCCAAAACAAGGAGACAAAAAAATAAGACCCAAACGAAAGAATAGGTCAAAACTCCAGAAAAAGAGCTAAACAAAATGGAGATAAGCAATCTCTCATATGTAGAGTTCAAAACATTGGTTATAAGGATGCTCAAGGAACTTAGTGAGGACCTCAGCAGAATAAAAAAGATCCAGTCAGAAACGAAGTATACACAAATTGAAATAAAGAACAATTTACAGGGAGACAGCAATAGAGTAGATGAAACTGAGAATCATATCAGTGATTTGGGACATAAGGAAGCAAAAAACAACCAATTAGAACAACACACAAAAAAAATCCAAAAAAAAAAATGAGGATAGTATAAGCAGCCTCTGGGACAACTTCAAGAGCTTCAACATTCGCATTATGGGGGGTAGGCAGAAAAAGAAGAGTGCAAGAAATTGGAAATCTATTTGAAAAAATAATGAAAGAAAACTTCCCTAATTTGGTGAAAGTAATGGATATGCAAAAGTCCAGGAAGCACAGAGCATCCCAAACAAGATGGATGCAAATCCCACTCCAAGACACACCACAATTAAACTGCCAAATGTTAAAGATAGGAGACATCTTAAAAGCAGTAATAGAAATGAAGTTAGTTACCTACAGGGGAGTTTCCATAAGAATGTCAGCTGACTTCTCAAAAGAAACTTTGTAGGCTAGAAGGGATTGGCAAGAATTATTCAAAGTCATGAAAAGCAGGGACTTATAGCCAAGATTGTTCTACCCAGCAAAGGTATCATTTAGAATTGAAGGGCAGGTAAAGAGCTTCCCAGACAAGAAAAAAACTAAAGGAGTTTATCATCACCAAACCATTATTATATGAAACATTAGAGGGATTTATTTAAGAAAAAGAAGATCAAAACTATGAACAATCAAATGGAAAAAACACAAATCTATCAACAATTGAATCTAAAAGATAAACCAAGCAAACAAGAAGAACAGAGACAGATCATGGACATGGAAAGTATTTTGATGTTTACCAGATAAAAGGGGATCATGGTGGAAGGGGTGAAGAGGTGATAGGATTAAGAAGTATAAGCAGGTATACAAATAGGTACTTACAGAATAGCCATGGGGATGTATAGTATAGGAAATGGATGTGTACACGTGACCCATGGATGTGAACAATGGTAGGATTGCCTGAGGGAGTGGGGGGTGCTCAGTGGAGAGGGGCAAAGAGGGAAAAATCAGGACAGTTGTAATAGCATTATCAATAGAATATAATAAACAATTGGCCATAATTTTAAAAAGGATAGAAAAATAAAAGTGTCTTTTTTTTTTTAGCTTCTTTTTCTTTCACACAAGAAAGCATGAAATCAGCTACATTGATAACAGGCCATTATGAGGCATTCACCAAGAAAAGAACGGCCAAACTTTCACCTTTGAGGCTTATTAAAGTCTAATAAATGGTGGTGATAACATCATCTAAGTCTCCACTACTCCTATGGGAATACTGATGTCTCTTTGTTTCTTTTCTATGTGAAGTCTGCAAACTCAGCTACTTCCCCCCCACCAACTCTTAAGTAAAGCAGGCTCAAGTAATTAAGAATGTTGCAATTTTTCCCTACAAAGCAAGTCTATCTTATAGCCAACTTAATACGTACCCTTGGCCAAAGACTAATTTGTTTAGCTGCCACAAAAACCTTATATCCTAGGTGTTCAATCACAGAATGAACAAGACATGCAGCCTAATGCATGTATGACGGCCATTTCATTCCAGATATAATATAAAGGTACCTACTGCTTGAGGAAAAAGAGTTCCCTTTCCAACTGACCTGAAAAGCAAGTGGTGTGTAATTCTATATGAAGCATGATGATGAAAAAATGCCTTCCTCAGAGGCTGTGTTATCTAAATATATGAATCTTAAACTTTAGCATGCATCAGAATCACTCAGAGGGTTTGTTAAAACACAGACTGGTGGGCCCCACTCTCAGAGTTTCTCATACAATAGTTTTGGTGTGGGGCCCAAGAATTCAT